TGAAGTTGCTGTATCCTTTATTACCATATAGGTGGATGTGTATTAACTTCAACCGATGTCGTTTTCAGTAGCAGTGTTGAAAGGTTGTAAATTGGAACATTGTGGATGCAAATACTTAAAGCCGATCTTGTGGATGCCTCTTACTGTTATTCAGCTGGCGCCTATTTTACCCAACCTCAGACATGGCATAACTTCAAAAAACTTTAGCATTCTAAGTAATGTTGATTGAATCTCTTATAAACCTTCTCTAAAGCAATTAATTTCGCAATTACTTTTTTTGGAAACAGCACATTTTCGGCTGACTACGATACACTCTAGATTATGGTATCGCTAATGAAGACGTCGATTTCTCTTTGTAGGTGGAAATCTTCTACCGACCGCAGTCGCTGATTTATGCGAAGGAGACTGGGTGGGAGCGTCTGGGCAGCCAGATCACCGACTCCAACGGTCGTCTCACATTTCAACTATCTGAAGCTTCTCGACTGCCAGTGGGTCTGCATCGCATCCAACTCATTCCCATCATCGGTGAGCCTGACGAACAGGCAGTAGAACTTACTCTTGCTATCGTTCCACCCAACTGTGACGTCGTCATTTGTAGCATCGATGGCTCCTTTGCTGCCAGTCTCTCCCTCATGGGAAAGGTGAGCTCTTTCGCAAACACGTATTCGCACCCACCTACCGGCATTCTAACTGAACTAGGAAGTAGGTTTGGCATCTAGTCAGTGTACTTCACGCATTGGCTTCTATCGCTCCTACGGTAGTTCCATTTCGCGCAGTAGTTTAGATTAGCTGTTGAAGATAATTGCTGCTCTTAGTGAGTTTACTTCTGGGTTTTGTGTGTAATTGTTATTCCGTCATGTCATAGGATAGGGTTTGTTGTTCGAAGGCTCCACTTGTACCATTAGAACAGCCTGATCCTTTTACAAACATTGAATCAATTATTTACATGCACGTGGTTTGTCGCATCATCTTTTGCTGTACATTGTTTCTTTTTTGCTCTAAACAGTCAGAAATTTAATTGCTACTACGACGTTCTTGCTCTTTCAACGCCCTTTGACGTTGATCAGCGAACTTCATGTGCATTTGACTTTCTTAAAGAAAATTGAAGTACTGCTCCCATTATGTTTATGCGGCACACAAAAATATTTTTCCTTGCAGTGTTATCGTCAAATGGTATGTTTTTATTGCGGTGTAACAATAGCGCGTACTCTTTGTTCGCTCCCATTTTCACTCTCATCTCCTATTTCACTGTTTGCTCACATAATTTATTTGATGATGTAGCGTCCTTTCTGATTTGAAGTTTCCGCTTTAACTGGAGCACCATATGCGATTGTTTAGACTTGCACCTTCATTCGCCTTGGCCGATTTCGCTCCGCAGGGTTCGAACTGCGAGTGGTCTTAGGACCTGTAGATTTATCATGCATCATGCAAAATACATATAGTACACGGTCTTCAAAGCGCAGAATCCCACGCTTGCATGCTCGAATTCGCACACTTCGATTGATCCACATACAAGAATGAAAGCAAAGGTTTTGTGAACTAATGGATAAACAAGCGATTTTGCGAACCATCGTCCATCTGCACAGGTGTTGGAATTTGTGCAGACTAATTTATGAATATTTTTGCATCCGCATCTACTGCTCCCCACGCCAGGCGCTAGAGTCTCAGGCAAACAACAAAGTAGATGGCTGTTTACTGTCACGTCCTTAATGTGCCGATAATTTAACTGTTGATTAAGAAGATTGTCAGGCAGCGCTGTTCAATGCGAAATCTTGTGTGGTAAGCACAGTCATATGCAGTGATGTTGTCAGACTGGAAATTCGACTTATATTTTGGGAGGAGCGAAGCACTGATTTCTTTTGCTTACTGTGGTGAAATGCATTGGTTAAAACTTTCTAAAATTCACAAATCGTGTCTGACCCGAAAAAAAATAGGGAATATCTTAAAATGAGGTAATCAAACTCACTTTGACTAAACTTTTAACAAATATTAAAGCTCAGTCTGTTTGCTTTCATACAATGATACAACGAATGTACGTCTTATTAGCCACGTTTTCTACTGCATCATCACCCAACTAACTGGTGTTTTGACACGCGATTTGTTGTATGATGGATGTCGTAAATAAGAGTACGAGAGGAAAAATGCATCGGCTTTAATAGTACTTTACGAGGACAGTTACAGAACACCTTTATCGCGCTGGTGTTTATTGTACTGTATTGCTGAAGTAAATCCTTGCTGCTATGCTTACCCAGGATCCGAAGGTGCGACCAGGCAGTGTGGACATAATGCGCCATTGGTATGCGCTGGGCTACCTCCTCATATACATCTCGGCGCGACCGGATATGCAGCACCGCCAAGTCGCCTCGTGGCTCGCTCAGCACAACTTTCCACCAGGCCTCACATTCTTTCTTGATGGCATCTTCACTGACCCCTTACGGCAGAAGGCCATCCTCCTTAAATCCCTTGTTGAACAGGTGTGTTTTTTCCTTCTCTGAGGTGCTCTTGGCGCACATGTTTGCACTAGTTATTCACTTTAAAACATTTTCAAGAATCCAAACGCACTTAATCCAACAGTTGGGATTTATTTCCAGAACTTAGATACAATGCTATTATGAACCGCTTGATTTGTCCTGTGAAATGCTGTCAATCAAACAGATTCCTAAATTCAAATGGTAGTCATTAATGAGACATGTTATAGCTAGAGCTTGGACTTTGCTAGAATTGAGAAGTATTTTATTGGTGCGATGGCATTGCTAAATCTGGAGGGGCCAAATTGCTCAAATCTAATAAACCTCTCCCGTATGATGGCTACATTGACTACTAGGAATGGAAGTACTTGGGTCTAGTGTTTTGTTCAATAATGCCCTCTTACCGTATGTTGGTGCCAAGGTGAAGGATTAACCACATAATATAACCCCATGCAGCTGAACTAACCCTCAAATTTCAGGAGCACTGCAGTACGTGGTTCATTTTAACCGCCTTCATTTTCATTACACCGTCGTTTGCTGATTTGAGACCCTTTTGGGAGATAAGGTTGATTATTTTGGCGCCTTTATTAAATCGAATTCACAGGGATTTTTATCAGGTTCTTTCACCTACTTTATCAAAACTGAGTTATTTATACAGGCTATTATTGCGCTTTACACAGAACCAATTATCCGTGCACTGCGCCTACGGGTCGGCAAAGGACGTGCCAATTTACCGATCATTGGGCCTTCAAGCACATCAAATATTTGCGGTGGGAAAACTTTCCCGCCGTCAAGCTCTAGAAGCAACTGTAAGTCAAATTACCCTTCATAACTCATGCTCTGTTTTCATTCAAAGCTCTAACTTGTCAATAATTTTCTAACTCTTGTGATTGCGGTGCAATGGATTGTTAAGCTTTGTGCCAAATGGCGTCTTTTGTAGTGCTTACGTTGACAGTTGCACTACCTGACTTCGGCTGAATGCACAAGCATGTCTTACGGAGCACAACTGTAAAAACCAATTAGAAATGCGTCATGTGATATTACACATAACAGAACCTGCTTACAACTTGGTGTCCATCTTGTGACCACCTTTTAATCGCCAATGGTCTAAATTCGATGTAACTACTACCCAACTCAGAAAGTTTTTTTTTTGTATTTTATAAGAATTTAGTGCTACTTCGTGATGATGGGTCTCGATGGGCAGCAGATTCCTAGTAATCTTTACCTCCTGGGAACCACGCTCCAGAACTTTTACTAGTTGTTTACTGAACAACATGCTCGACAAGCAAACCAGTAGATTTTCTATGTTTCATTCACATAGCCAATTCGAGAGGGCTACACTTCTCACTTCAAGGAGCTGATGGACCAGAAGCATCTCTCGATTCCGGCCACAGGACCACTAAGCGCAGCGGTGCTGCGAAACGCGGCTGAGCTTCTCCATTCCTCTGCTCCGCCGTCCGCGAAATCCACTGTCTTCTTTGACCTGCCGGGAACGGTGGTTGACGTTGTGCCCATGTCCGTACCCTCGTCGCCTCCGGCGCACCACCAGTAGGGCACTGTGACATCAAACTCAACGACGGCACCACCACTTATTTGTCCTTTCTCTCCCCTGTGATGTACCATGTCTGGCTTCAATATACCTCTTTTTATTTCTGCATAAAGCATAAAAATAGGAGTGGACACGGTAGATGTATGCACATATTTTTTATCCTTTACAATACCACGTTCAAGACGTCTCTTTTCTTGCTTTTGTCATCGAGTTTTGCTCTCTCCCCTCTTACCTGTCCTCGCACTCACGAACGTGTTGTGGCATACTCAGTTCCCATTGTATTCGATTTGAGGCGAGGCTCACGTTTCTCTTTATGTCGACTATAGGAGTTACAATTCCTTGTTGGGGTGGATTTTGCATATACAGTAGGCGGGTTCCTGTCGGGAAAGGCTGATTGTTTCATGCGCTGGGAGAAGGTATCTGCTTGGGAGGTGGCTGGCCTGGAGGTCAGTACGTGTGGCGTCCCGAGACTTCCGATAGGCAGTATGTGTAGCTGAATACATGTATTCCAGGGTGGACAAAGGGACTGTATTAAAGCTCCGCCCAAGGGTCAGGCCACGTGTGCGGGGGTCAAATAAAGCTTAGTCTTTAGGCGCCAGATGGTTGCGTAAACAGTGATTAAACTTTTTATTAGGTCTAGTGCGGATAGGTGTGTAACACCTAATTTCTTCGATTACCTGTGTGAGTGACAGAAAACAAGTTTTCCGTTTCCATTTCGGCTGTATGGACTGGAATTCTGTTCAGGAATAATGCATTTAGGTGCAGTTAAAGGAATTAAGACCTTGTGGAAAATTTTTTGACTTCAAAAAACTTTAGTGTTTAGCCATCTTGCGATTTGTGAAAATCGCGGTTTTAGGATTAAATCATGTCATAAAACCTAATGGGTTCGTCTCTGGCACCTTGACATTTGAGACACTATACTATCAACAACGCCTTAAAAAGGAAAACCAACGTTTGAATCCCTTGTTCATACATTAAATACATATTTTGGTTTTTGTTTTAAGCACCATGAACTAAGGCGTTATTTAGAATAGGCTGATGTTGTGGGGTTGACTGCCTGTCATGGCCGATCCGAGAAGTCTCGAAGCTGACGCTAGTGAATTTATTAAACAAGCACAACACTATGAAAATATAAAGGACTATGGCTTGGCAGTGTTCTACTACGTAGAGGCAGTTCAGGCATGGTTGAATGCCAAAAATGCAGGTTCTACGAATCCTGATATTTTAGCTCTTGCACGCTCTTACACAAGACACGCCGAGGAGCTGGTTGAGAAGAGAGGTGCTGTCATGTCTTCGTAATAGCCCTTTTAGATGCAATGGGGTCGATTGCGAAAGTGCCGCAGCAAAACGTAGTGACTATTTTTATTTACCTGACTACCTAGATGGAAGTTGAACGGGCGAAGTGCCTTCTCAATGAAGCACTGGAAGCCGATGAACAGGAAAACTCTGCGGATGCCCTCAATCTATACAGTCAAGCTATTGAAATACTCTTGAAAGTGGTAGGTTTGTTTTAATTTCAAAATCGTTTAGCGTAACGAAACAAGCGATCGGGCATTTCGTGAAAAAGTTGAACGGTTGGCCAAACAAGCGCTAGATAGGTAAGTTCTATCAAAAGCTATATCAGGGTTTTTATAGGGCAGAGGCGCTGAAAACTGCTGCTAGGTCACCATCATTGTCCAAAATGTCAGCTGCCCAAAAAGCATGCAACCGACGTAGGTTCCACTTTTGTGCAGACGCGTATAAATCAATTTATTTTCTTGGATCATTCATGAATCTAAGATTTATATAACCACGATCATTTAGTTTTAATTTGGCTTGATTTGTATTTTGCTTGCTCGCACCTGTACCTTTGCGTTGTGGGAAGACGCGCATGTATTTATCTTGCAGCTCGCAGTGGAGAAGCAGGGGGTTATACAAAGGAAGAGCTTCGTGTTTTACGAGAAACATCCACAATCAATGGCAGGGAGTATCTGCCTTTTCTAGACGCAATTGATAGTCATGAACGATTTGCGTTTGCTCAACCGTTTACGTAAGACATTTATACTCTCTTCTTCGTAACCGCATGGGCAATGACAGTTTGTGCACTCTGCTTTGTTTATTTGGTTATCTCACACACAGTTGCATTTTATCGGTATTTAATTAATTGGATTCAATGTAAGTCCATGAAATTAATGATCCACATAATCTTACTTTAAATTTCTTACGTTAGGGATCAGCACGGGCTGATTGCTTTGTCTTCTAAGCAGCGGTCTGGCTTTGTTAAGTGGGTGCGACCAAGCGACTTTTTGAACGATCCGACAATGATTATCGCTGTTTCTTGTTTCCCGATCCGTCAAACCTGTGTAACTGATTGTTCTTTTGTGGCCTCGATGGCTGTTGCTGCCCAGTATGAACGCAGGTTCAAAAAGCGCCTTATAACTAAGTGCGTATCATGTGGTTTTTATTTTCAATAACAAGGTTATTCCTTTCTTTATCACCTAATGCAAAGCACTAGTACTTCAAAGTATAAAATTAATGAGCTCACTTTTTATTACTCTAAATGCTATTATAAAGTCGATTGTTTTTATTTGTTGTCTACTTGCCACGTCTCCTGTAAATTAATCCATTCTCGACACAGTATGTTCTTCTATTTTCTCCCAATTGTAGCATTATTTATCCACAAAAAAAGAACGGTGAGCCCGTCTACAACCCATGCGGTAAATACATGGTAAAACTCCACCTAAATGGCGTTCCTCGGAAAGTGAGCCCATTGTCTAGCTCAGTAATGTTATTTTTTTGGTTCAGCAGTTTAGTACTTTCCTCGTTGCTTTTATTGCACTCCTTATTCACCGGTTCGTAGGGTTTAGTAAAAAAACTCTTAGGTGCCCGAGATATTATGCATTGAATCGACGGGTAGTACGCAGCTGTCCCCCTTACTGTTACCCTATTTGCTGAAATATTTAGATAATTATCGACGATCGGTTGCCCATGGGCTACCACGACGAACTGTTGTGCTCTTTTTCGACGAACAAAAATGAACTCTGGGTCTCCCTTCTTGAGAAAGCCTATATGAAAGTTATGGGTGGTTACGACTTCCCCGGTTCAAATTCGGTTGGTTTTATGACTCCAGTCCAAACCACTAGAGAATTGCTGCTTTTTTACTTTGTTTATACTATCTTGGAGTTAGTAGGTAGTAGTTAAAGTTAGCACAATAGATTACTTAAAGTCACTCTACGACGTTTGATTAGTTTTGGTGGAAAATTGGCCTTTATGGTGGGGTCGAAGCTATAAACGTAGCATTCATTTCAATTAGTTAATGGCTCCCATGGGCTTAGTTGTGCCGGATTAGTTGTTGTGTGCTAGAATTGTAGCATTGAGAGAAAGATGCATATATAAATTGTCGTCCCTCAGAATATCGACTTGCACGCATTGACTGGCTGGATTCCAGAACGTGTCTCAATAAAATCAAGTGGCACTAACGAATTCGACGCGGACCGCGAGTTTCGGCGTCTGGAAAAGCGATTTCACCGAGGTCACTGCCTGGTGACTGTGGCGACAGGACTGCTCACTCCAGAAGTCGAACAGCGCAGCGGTTTAGTTCCCACTCATGCTTATGCTCTTCTTGACATGCGGCAAGTCGACGTAAGTATAAATGCTACCTTATTACCTTTACATTGCAAAGGTTCTATGGACAGCCGAAAGGTTCGCTACCGTAACATAATCTAGCAACATTGTATTGCGAAATTCGCTAAAACGTACTTTTTACTTTGCCTATATCTGTCGATTCCGATCCAATGCTATATAATTTTAGATACAATGGGTACATTCTCAGCAGCTAACTTACTGTAATATTGAAATTCCAAATCCAAATTTAGACCATGAGCCTTTGCTGAAAGGAAGTGGTGGTATCCGTTTTTAAGGCATATTAGGCGGTCCTTTTTTTCCACAATAGGGGGCTTCGACATTAGTATCTAAGTTTCAATGTTGCATTGGTGAGTTCTTCTTTTGGTAGGTTTTGATGGTTTATAAGGCCTTAACTCCTCTGTTATCGATGTATTTTGACTCACCGTTGGTTTCGTTGACGAGGTATGTTGCATGTATTGTCGCCTACGGTTGTAGCTGAAACCAAAAGTACTTGAAATGGTGAAACTTTGTTGTCACTTCTTTTGACGTTATTTTTAGGGTATTGGCCTTGTTACAGTTTGAAATCAATGGATTTTTTGTCGCTGTTAAATTTTAATTTTTACACAATGTCAATTTTCTCCCATACGGATGGATGTGATCATGCAATAAATTATTGTTCATTAACATTTCATTGCCTGTTTTGTAAGTACGATGCATCAAATGCGTTTTTTCAAAGTCACTGTTTTAATAATTGTCGTTTAGCAAACAAAGCTTCTGCTTCTCAAGAATCCGTGGAGTCGAACGCGCTGGAAAGGCAACTTTTCCGATCAGGACACTGAACGCTGGACACCTGAGATGCAAAGGAAGCTTGATTACGATCTGAACAGCGCCCGTTATGTTGACAATGGCGTATTTTGGATCGACTATAAATCGCTCCTCTACTTCTTTGATGTCTTCTATATCAATTGGAATCCCGAACTTTTCCCTTACACCACCTGTGTTCATAGGTAGCTATTGCTCTTGTTATTTTCACTACATTTCTCGTACCCATTCATGCAAATTAGTATTGCTGATTTGGATTTTATTTAGATTTATATTAACGTTATAATTGGCCGCAGTGTGGGCCTTTAGGCCAAGATTGGATGCCCTAGTTCTTAAGGCAAACGAATCATGGTATAAAAGCGGTCAAAGTAGACTTTAGTGATTGTGCTGTGTTAACAGCACACGCACTGATGTTTCCTATGCGTTTTGTACTTATAGTGAGTGGTCTGCTTCTGAGGGGCCGAAGAAGGACGTTTATTCATTCGCAAATAATCCACAGTATACTCTGGAGGTTCAGGCCAAGTCCCAAGCTCCTGTTTGGGTGCTTCTTACTCGGCACATTACTAATAAGGTAACTAACGTTTATCGCAGCACAAAGTTTGTAATTTGACAAATATCACTATTTTGGCTCATCAGCACCTGAGGTCTACATTTTCATTAATGAGGAGATGCTTGCAAACCACTCAACATAACGACTTGATAAGTGGGTAGCCGGGTGTTTGTTATTATCTTGTTTGTAGAATGACTTTGCCCACAATAACGAGTTTATTGGATTGGTCGTATACAAGGACATTCAGAGCCGGAAGGTCTACCACCCCAACGACCCAGTTCCATTGAAGGATAGTGTGCGCATCAACTCACCGCACTGCCTCATTCAACTTGTTCAGGAGCCGGGAACCGTCACTTACACCCTTGTAGTCTCTCAATATGAGAAGAATGTCACCATCCAGTACACGCTCCGCGCCTACTCTACTGCTCCCATGCGATTTAGCCCTATCACTGATCCCTACACCGTGACCAAGACGGTAGGTTTTCTTTCTTTTCTTCACGTGTACATTTTATCTGTCATTCCATCTGTGTATAGATAAAAAAGTATCATTTCTGTCCTCCTGTGATTAAAACGCTCTTCACTGATGATGTTTCACTCCTTTCCTGCGTCATCGACTATACCCTTATTTTTTGGTGCACACAAGTCTGTTGCGTGCGCTTCTTCTATGGTCATAGTTCCATCTTACTTTCCTGCTGCTATCTCAGACCCTGCGTCATGACTAAAATGATAGACTATTTGATCGTGGATGTTCTTTTTGGGTTATGCAGGAGACTGAGCGTTTCTATCCGTGTCTATGATTGGCGACCATCAATTTTCGGTGTTAAAATGAGATGTGGGCGTTAGGGTCGACTTATTAAGGGCGGATGACTAAATTGACTTCACTTGTTTCAAGCTAATTTATTTCATCTCCAATCGTTTCAATGTCTGGTACGTCTTTTGTCTTGGCGTCGTTCGACTAAAAGGCGTAGTCGAAAGAATAGGCAGTCAAAGCCTTTTATGTAAAGTGATCTAGCTTCTTCTTCAAACATGTATTTTTTTTAGAAATTCCTTGATGGAAAAATGTTTGGAGAGGACAATCCAAGTTAATTGAACATGTATTTACTGGTTGTAATCAATGGAAATAGCTACAATTTTTATGTATAGCCAAAGAAAGCTTCCTTGATTCGTTGCGGCCTGGTATTAAGTTATGCAAATGATGAGACTTCTCCGATAGATGGGCTTGATAAATGTGATAAGATGATAAGGATATGGTTGCTTTACTGTACTTACTTGAATTTGGCAAATATTATTAACATCGCTTTTCAGAGCTATGAACAATGATTTAGAAGACAGGGCCTGTAGAACCTGTGCTACCTATTCTCTATTTTAAATGTTCCGTGGAATGTTTTGAATCTGTTCTCACTCATTTTTGGACAGTGCCGCGCCTTCGGTTAGACTAGTGAGTCTTTGTACCTTAATGGGGTTTTTAGCTTGGAAGTGGAAGCTGACAAGCAGATTTTTGAACTATTAATTCTGAAAAATCGACGTTGAAATAGGGCTCAAATAAGGAATGTCCAAGTTTAAGCTTGGGCTTGAAATCGTCGTTACGTAAGTGTATTTTAGCCGATTTTGGAGAACCTTTTCGCGCGATAAAGAATTGAATCTGATTATTGATTGCACCAATATTTGCGATGCAGATAAATGGGGAATGGAAGGGCAACACGGCGGCAGGGTGTCAGAACTATGCCAACTTTGACAAAAATCCTACGTTCACGTTGGTGTGGCCGAATAACGAAGTGGATAACCAAGTGCTGGTAGAGGTACGTGGTCCGCGTGACTTCGCTATCGGGTTCACATGGGACGTCGTAAGCCTCACTAACCCTTCGCCTCTCAATTCTTCCCGCTCCCTCTCCACCGGCAACTACCGGTATGTCTCCTTCTGATATCTATATTGCTCTTTCGTCCACCATTATTAGTGCTGAAGTTGTCTTTGTGATTGGTCTTAGTCGGGGCTACACTATGCTGGAACTAGCAGGACTGTCGGGAGGGCGGTATAAGATAACATTAGCGACCTTCGAACCACTTCAAGAGGGCCCCTTCATTCTATCGGTGAAGAGCACTCGCCCACTGACCCTCACTCGGCTTCAATAACATGCCCTCATACTAAGTTGTGTGCATGTTGAGAGTCGAAATTCTGTGCTTTCATTCACTCGCCTCCTGGTACTGTGTTTTCAGGATCCGGTAAATAGGCTCGTATCTGAGTTTCTTTTTTACTGATTTTTAATATTACTGGAGTTAATCTATTTTTCTGAATTGCTGACCAGAATTCTTTGTCAAAGTAATGTATCGTTGCTGAATACTTACGCCTATTTTTTGCAAAATTTACGAATAGAAGTATTAGTGGTGCATGGGTGTTGGCTGATATTAATTTGATCGAACCAGAGGAAATTAATGAAGGCTGCGTAACTATTGGCGCCACCATTTTTGGTTCTGCTCGAGGTCCGAAATGTCCAACTAAGATAACGAGGATAGGGTTATTTAGTTGATTTCATTTAGGGTCTTGAATGACGGTAATCCATAACAATGCAAAAGACTAATAGGAACTGCGCAGTGGTTTGAGCAACTGTCAAAACAGTAATCTCGTATAGTTAATGATATATTGAAGCGGAGTCTTAAAGCGCCCCTCACTAAAGCTTGATGGAGAATTTAACAAGTTAGATGCGGTCTCCAAATCCTGACAGTATGTGGACCTAATTGAAGATTTTTTTGAAGATACTAGAAGTGAAAGTAAACGCAACCGAAAGTCTTTGAACTGGGGCTTTCAATTCGGCGTCAGGAGCCTTTTTTTATTTCGGATTTAACAAAACAGTAATGTGCAAAAACAGCGGTTTAACTTTGACCACAAAACGTGGATCTAGGTATACTCATATCATCCACAGACAAAGAACGTGTGAGAATGGACGAGCACGCGCAACATTTTGCACAGCTTACTGAAAAGTTGCAAAGTAGAGCGATCAACAGGCCAGCTGCTCAAAAAACTTCTGGTTGTCGAATACCTGTAATCAGCACGATCATTGCACTCGGGTACAACTATGGCGCTTCAAGAATTCTCACCTGACAAAAAAGCCATTAAATTAGGATTATTGCATGCATTCCAAAAAAGAATGGATTTAGATTTTGTTTGGCCCGAAGGCTAGCTCAAGCGTACAAGGGCAAGAGTAATCGCCAGGCATACAAGTGGTCACATGAAGAAAGTATTACACAACACTTGAGTCGAATGGCATGCTGAAAAGGATTTGGAGCAGTGTGTGTAATGTGGATGCGGGAGGGCAAGTTATTCCAAATCAAATGGTTGTAAATGACGTCTACAATTCTTCGATACTTCAGTGAGAGCTTTGTAGCAAAAGATGTTAGCAACAAAGGCGGTACAAACTTTGATCAAATGGACTAGTTTTCCTAAGGAGTTGCTCATCGTAAACTTACAGAGATGTTGGAAATCGTAAAATTGCAGTGTAGTCCGAACACCATCATCATTCTAGTCTCCTTGTGGAGTTGCCTTACAAACAATTTGCTTACAAATGCTTTTTTGGCATCCCAAGAGAATGGAAGCAATATTTTAGGAATGGACGAAAATATAGTGCCCAGAGTGGGGCACTGAGAGGATCAGTCGGCACTTCCGGTACGATGCCCGTTTTCACACCTTGTCCCTGACCTATAAAGTCGATTAAACAACAACTTTAATGTAATACTGAAATGTTCGATCCATTTATGATACACGACTGCTGTACACCACTGCCCTCATGGATAGCTCTGGGTGGCCACATTTTTCTGAATGAAATCACAGACTCAATAAGTCGACAACGAATTTAGTGATGTTACAGCTAAGCATGTAGTGTTTCGGGACCTCCCACGGGGTGGAAGAAGGCAGCAAGTGGAGCTGAATACATGTGTTCCAGAGAGAACAAAATAACTAGGCCTGAGCAGGGTCCAAAGACCAGCCCAGGCGTTCATGGGACAGACAAACCAGGTGGTCACACAAAGTATTGCACTGCCTCTTCTTTTGAGCGACGTTTCCGGCGCTCCCCTTGTTACACTTTCCGCGCCAGTCAGCAGCTACCAAGAGACTGAGGAGAGGTACTTGGTCTCCTCAGCAGCTTCAACTGGACCTGGAGATACGGTCGGTCCCACAGTCCGAATCGAGGCCGCATTCATCCGTTGACCATCAATTGGTTCCAGGTACACGAGAGACGAGATCAGACACTATGCCGTGTATAGGGAGAACCGTAGTGTCATTTCTGACGGTGACGCTTCAGTTGTTAATAGCTTGTCTGTGGAACACGGGGACATGGAGAAGCTGAACGCGGATGTCACACTCAAGTTTTTATTGTGAAGAATTCTGAAATTCTCCCACCACAGATGTGGATACACCTCATCCACACCGTGTGATAGAATTCGTTAAAAAATGTCGGGTTTGCCTTCCGCTGCCACCAGTGTTGCGTCGTGAGACTTTTCACAGAGTAGAAGAAGGCATTAAGTGGAGCTGAATACATGTGTTGCAGGGTGAATAAAGGGACTAGGCCTGAGCTTGGCTTGAAGACCAACACACGTGCACAAGTGCTGGCCGAATCCTAAAATAACCACCAGATGTCAGGTGATTACATGAACAAAGTAGTACAAAGGGTCTCTTTGGCTTCATTCGAATTCGGTGACTAGCGTGGATGACCTGCTTGCATAGCTGGGGAGGGGAGCTAACCATAAAGAGGCCTAAGGGATCACAGTATAAGTTATTTTGTATGACTCTCGGCTTGGGAAAAGTTTATGGTGTTCCTAGGTTTAGCTGCGTAATAAATGTCTTCCGATAACCGCGAACAATCAGGGCACATGCTGTACTACATTATAAACGTATCAGCATTTCTGCAGTTTTATTAAAATATCATCTTTCCATATTATGGTCTTTAATAGTCCCGATTAAAAAGTTGTTTTTGCGAATACCACTTTAAAAAGGATTCGCGAACCTGTGCTAATACATTCCAGGTATTATTTTAATCGCTGTACTAACATTCCTTTGCAGTGAATAAAAACTTCTAAAAGCATTTGTTTGTTCTACTCAATGTTGCAGACTTGTGTCAACTTACAACTACCCGTCCAATTGATTTTGCAGTCGTTTAAGCTCTTAATATCCGGTATTTCAATTCCTTTACAATTCTTCACCTTAACTGCCTTATTAAGCATCTCATTATAAGTGCGTAACGTCTCAAATGCAGATGAGCTACCTAGTTTGACTAGAGATTCGGTTAATATCGCAATGCAATTTGACGATACTACACCAGATGGTAAGCTGAAATCTCATCACTATTCATTTACCTACCCACTTTTAGAACTTTATCAAATCGAGCAGTTTGAGCTTATTCCCTGCAGGATATGTTCTCGAAAGTTTCGAGCCGACATTATTGTAAGCTTTCGCAACCATGCTTGATTGATGCTTAGGAGAAGCATGAGAGCATTTGTTTGAAGGCCTCAAAGCGTAAACCAAAGATATTTGACAGTGGAAAAATGAGAGCAAAGGGTACGGGCATTCCAATTAGTAAAACAATTCGACCGGGAGAAATTGTACCTCGTGAACCTAATAAAGACGAAAGGCTTATAAGAGCAGAGAAGAAACGCGACAACTGGCGAGTTAAACACAAGGAGTTCATCAACACAATTCGATCTGCGAAAGCATATCAAAATGCGATATCCAAAGGTGGTCCTTCTATGCCACACCCACTCCCCCCTTCTACAATCGACCCAGGTAGGTCAAGTTTCTTTAAACTCCACTGACCTAGCTGAAACTGTTTGAGCATGGTCTTTTAGGATCACAATTGTCTTTCTTTTGTTGTGTAGTTGTTTAAGTGGTTGTAAATGGTGGAAACCGTAAGGAACTGAATAAAACCACCTTTCACAAACATATACTGGTCAGAAAATTTAATTAACACTTTAGACCTCACGTAAGGGATTCTTTCTTGGATTTAAATTTATAAGGTACTCCGATTTAGCAATAAAATAAACCGTACATTGGCGCGGTCGAAGCCTTCGACGCATCTTAAGTCTCAAATTCATGTTTAATTTACTTAATGCTATAAATATAAGGTGGCATTTACAAACTCTATTATTGGATCCTTGAATTAAGTGCTCAGTCCATAGCCTCATGACATTAAAATCATCTAGCGCGGTCCGAAATTTTCGTATCTTGTACGCATATTTCAAAATACTTTGAATGTCACAAAATAAGGTGGTTATTTATGCCATCATATTTCTTGAGTGACTTCTCCACATCTTACGTTTTGACAGGAAGATCTGAAGTCAGTTCAAAGTATTTTGACATATTTTTATTAAATTTTTAACTTCATTGCTATTTACAGACCTTATACTGTGTCAGTACTGTAACAGGAGATTCAATGAGAGTGCAGCAGAGCGTCACATCCCCTTTTGCAGGGAAAAATCGGAGCGTGAAAGACTAAAGCAAATTCCAAATAGATCAACGAAAAAGGTGGGAAGTGTGTTTTACTTTGTGATACTGCCGAAATTATGCTCCAGCTTCTTAAAGTTGGATTGTTAGGCTAGAGTGTAAATTTATGGAGTTTGCGCATTCAAGCTTTTGCTTAATTGAGGCTACACCGTCCATTGGTAGTACGTAGCGAGAAGCCGAACTTACTGCCATTAATAAGCAGGGTTCCAAACTGTGGATGAAATAATGAACACCGAGTATCATCTTTTGTGAAAACAAATTATTATGGTGCTATTATCAGTAGGTATAAGTCCCTTTATCTAGCGAACTACAGGTGGATTTTTGCCGAAGCACCGCATGATGTAACTCTAGATTCTGATATTCTGCTAACCTCTAAAGAGTTAAAGTGTCTGCTGTAAATTAACAGCTTATGCATTTTGGAACAGAGCTGAAGCAAAACAAAGGCAATCGCAAAGTAGTGTAGTGTCACGTGTTGGTTGCTAAGCCAGTTGCCTTAGTAACTTCCCCCAAATCTAGAATAAAAACCTCATAAAGAGGTACCAAATTAAAATAGATGAGTAACAGGTTTATTTGCAAATTCTTTAGCCGAATCAAAAGCCCGTTGCTACACTAAATAGCACATACCAAAGGAAAAGTGGACAAATGAGCATATCAATGACTCAGCAGCCACTGAAATCCCCGGCTGCGTCGAAGGGTGAAAAGGGAGACGGTGAGCTGCGTAACGAATTTTATCTTAAGCTTACAATTGGAAGTTACAAGTTACAAATCAAAACTGCTGGTAGCTACTACTGTACAGCCTTTTGTGAATTCATTCCTCTCATATAAAAAAAAGAATTTGTAAGCCTGAGTTAAATTCAGGTGTTTTCTTGACTTTTATTCGCACCCACCTAATATATGTGCATTAATGAAATAAAGTCGAGCTAAGCTGCTTCGATTTTGCCGTATCAGTGTGCTGTAAAGAGGAAGAATATGGTGGAGGAAATGAAGTTTAGCACCAAGAGTTCTCACATAGCCCGAAGGTCGAGACTTTCAAATTCCATACAGACATGGGGTCATGCAAAAACAATGGAGTTTTAAAGCTCGACTTTAAGCATTCCCAACTTCGAGTAAGTTGGCCACCAAAACGAAAAAAAATCAACAAGTCTAAGAAGTTCTTGATATAAAATGTTATAGCAACAACAGATACTGATGACATCGGTGGCATTTCATAAATTTTCGTCCCTCAGGTTCGCTGTCGAACACCACTCGGAGTCTTGAGTCACCTACCACCATTAAGACGCCAGCAAAGAGGGTAAGATTAGAAGTTCAATGAAGAGCGTCCCATTTTAAACAAATTCTAAGGATAGGGACCCCTTTGAATTATCCTTGAGTTTTATAATTGTCTGTCACTAAACGACGTTGACGAATGTTTATGGTAGTTTATATTTCTTCGTGATAAGGTGCATAGTTGTACGAGGTGTAAAGTAAGTCTTAAACTCACAGTACGCTACATCTATTACACGAACTATCATAGGAAGGTGTTTATGTATGTCACTTATGCACTTGCTGAAATGTGGTCTGTCAATAATTATTGCTTTGTTAACCCTTATGCAATGTTTGCATTTTGTTTATTGGAGGTATGAATAAGAGTGAAGCAAGGTGATAAATGCTTTCCATTTCCCGAATGTTATTAAGGGGACAAATATGTATTTTTAAGCCTAGCTCCCGATCCTCATCACGCAAGAGGAGTTCCATGTCATCTGCGAATGCGGAGGCCGGCATTAAAAATCGTGGCAGGTATGATAATTTCAATTCAGGGTTCTTGCACGACAAACCTCACTCGCCTGCCCTGTCCTCTGGACCCGAAGATGCTTGCAACAGCACCTTTGATGTGGAAGACTCACAGCACCAGCTCTTAGCTTATGTTACTGCATTGAAAAGTGATACAAATCGGTCAGCGACCCAACTCCATATATCTGGAGATGGTCATCAGTCTCTGCGTTCTCACTCGTCCCATTCAGTAAATTCGCGAGGTGCGATTTCACGACACTCTTCTATCACAACCAATGGCAGTATCAAAAATATTTCATCAGGTGTTCCAAAAGATCGTTCTCCTCCACTTAATAATAATCCTGCCTTCCCCAACCAGGCAGCGACTCTCCGAACTGGACGAACATACCAGCATTACATGGATGCCCAAGCCTTTAGTAATGACTTGGTAAAATCTCAGTCTCCGCTCACAAGTACGGCCAACAATCCTGTTGTTTGGCCTAAACGTGTTGGATCAAGAATGCCCCCACCACTGATACCCGAGATCGCACCAATGAGCATTAAAAAAGCCACAAGAATTAGTAACTCCCACACTAGCAGGGTAACTAGCTCGGATTCCTTCGGAAGTCGAATAGACCTTGATCGAGCTGATCGAATTGGAAATAGAGAACAGATATTAGAAAGCAATCATAAATTTGGAAAACCCAATCCTCGTTGGGTGTTACCAAGTGGGATTCCCGTTAGGGCAACGTAAGTGATCTTATAAACCCTAAATTTCGGTTTACGACTTTGTTGAAAAGGTTCAAACGTTGGAGCTGCGTTACGGTTTGATATGGTTTTCGTCAGTTGTGACATTTCATGGGAGGTGCGTTATTTAAATGCATTTGTTTTAAATTTCTCCTCAAGTAGTGTAACTTCCAAACGCGAGCCTTTAGTTGGACGACAGAGTTTACAGACTCGAAGAATCAACAAGGGATTCTACTGCCACGAATGCGGCGCGAAATTTCCGAGCACCAGTGCAAGATTTTGTCCTGACTGCGGCGTCAGGAGAATGGCTGTTTGAATAAAGCATTCTTAACAGACTTTTAAAGTGTAAAACTTTATACTGTGTCCCTCATTCCTCCTTTTACTTGTCTTATCTTATAGTTAAAACCAAGTCGAAGATTATTGCACCTGTTAAAGGTTGGAAAGCTTGGGTTCTTGTTACGGACTTAAACAATAATTCGCCCACTTATCATAGTTTAGCAGTTGTAAAAAGAGTAAAGCCCAGCATCGATTTGCACATGTTAAAGGAACGAGGTTACGGACAGGTTAATCCACATTCCCATATTTGGGGCGACATTCTGCGAGGATGTAGATCTCTGGGTCTCAACTGCAGTACCAGATGTGTATCATTCAAGTGTAAGAGGTTAAGGGTTTATTAGCACACTTTAGGAATGAGGGTAAGGAGTAAAAGCATGGTGTGGGATTAGGTCTGCTCGCTTAGATTGACACACTGCAGGAACAGTACAGTTTCAATGTAGCTGAGGCATAGCAAGCTCTCATTTGTGCGTAAAGATAGTCCGTACACAATGGAGTGTTCAACCCATCGGCATGGGTTTTTTCTGTTACTCGATTCATTTTCAGTCTAGCGTGCATCTCTCCTACTTTAGCGTTTTTATATTTGAAATGGAGTGACTTACTAGAGATTCTCAGGCCATTAAGAAGTAAGGTAGATGGTTGCAGATTATTATTATTTTGTCCGACTGCCGGATCAAAAAAAACTTAAGTGATCATTTTGTCGCCGTCTATCGGGCTGACTTTGGGTCATGGTATCTTAATATTTAATTTTCTTCCCTTTTGACTCCGAAGAGATGTTTACCCCAAGTGCTCTGCATCCCCTAACCTATGGAAAGTTACCAGACGGCTATAGCTGTTATGCTTTGTTTATGTGACTGCCTGACGTTCGTCGGTCACTTTAGGAATTGTGGACTGACCTTCGGGCCATCCTTAGGTCCATTTGTCCTGTCGTCTTTGGAATACATGTAGCTAGCTGCACTTACTGACTTATATTGGCTAGGAAGTCTCGAGTCGCTATACTGGTGACAGCGGAAAGCGAACCCGACATTTTTGAACGCCTTCTTCATAGCGTATACCGTTTGTTGCATATACCTACGGTGTGGAAGATACACATTGGCATCGGTGGCGGAGACTCTATGATTCCCTCACGACGAAAGGGTCGAGACTGATGTCTGCATTTGGCTTCACCTTACTCCGGTGTTCCACAACCAGGTTATTAACTACTGAAGCGACATTGCCGTGGACTACCTGGAAAAGTTTTGTGTCGGAAGTTCTCATACAAACTCCGTGTTTAGCTGTCAGAAATGAAACCACGGTTCTTCTTACATACGGGACGATGGGTTATCCCATTTCCTCTGTAACGTATCTGTTTTAGATCATATTTCCACCGCCTATTCCTGGAAGCAACTGATGGTCAACAGGTGCATGCTGTCCCAAATCTGCTTGTCAGACCGAAGGTAACACCAGATCCAGTTGAAGCTGCCGGGGAGACCAAGTACGGTTCCTCAGTCTCATGCTATCTATCGACTGGCGCGTTCCGTTCGTGGGTGCTTTCTTGTAGTACCGAATGTTGTGATGGTTGGCTCGGAAGGTGTACCAGGGAGACCGCCGAGGACGTCGTTCAAAAGAAGAAAGGGGCAGTGCAATACTTTGCTTATGTGGCTGACTGACGTTCGGCGGTCACTCTAAGATTTGTCTGGCCCTTGTACTCGTGGACTGGTCTTGGAGCCATACTCAGGCTTATTTTCTCTTTTTCCTTCGCAATACGTATATCCGACCTCACTTATCGCCTTCTTTCACCCAGTGGGAAGTCTCGGGACTTCACAGTGGCCTTCATTATTTCCCATTCTCTGTGTATTTACTTAAAGTTTGCGTAGTTGACGGCTATAATTGTCAACCAGTTTGGAGACAGTTTTGATTAAGCCTACTTGGCTGGAGCTGGGGCAGTGCCTTGGTTCTCCCTCCTTTCTTCTCCAAATGTAGCCATTCGACCAATTGCTGTGACCTGTACTACCTAGTGGTAAATCTCGGAAGTCTAGAGTCACTGAAGGCTAATTATTTGATAGACCTCCCAAGTCTTGGGCGGCTGCTTGTGTTTGGGCAGAAAATGTTGAAGTGCAGCTTTGGTCTGACTCGAAGGGCAGCCCACATGGCAATGGCAAGATGGTCACCAAGGCGATCCCCATTCCTACAGATTATCGAATATACACAGTATATAACCAGCCATACTTACTAACTTCTGTATGGTTAACGCACCTATAGCCACTCATTAAAAGTAAATCATTTACCGTAACAAAGTTCAGAAAATATGCCTACCTATACTTAGTTCTACAGGGGCAGGATGACATTATCTTAATTAACGCCTGTGATGGAAAATATAGTTCGATTTGGTTTAATAAAATTATGTGTGTAAGACCTAGTGAATTGTTATAATTACCGTCTACAGCCGAGATTGCTTCAAAGTTAGCTTGTATGTTCGTCTCGGTTCCTATGCCGAAGGAAATTCTGGAAAGAGATAAGCACTGGAGTCCTTCCATGTTACTCGGAGTTAGGTTCATCTTTAAGGATAGAGTAATAGTTGTTCCTGATCTTCCATCCAAATTCACTGCTCTGCATGGTTCCAGTCTCCACCATAAGGTAACTGATTTGTGTTGAATTTCTTTCTTGAATTTCATCTTGTGTGTACTGGG